TTTATTTATCTGCAAAGTAATGTTGAAATAACAAATGTAATTTCAGTCTAATAGTTAGTGCAAGAAATCATTAGGCGTTTGTAATCACTGCACGGTGTGCGATTATCATGGCGATTGTGCGTGGGTAATTCGATACACGTTGACAATTAAATTTGGTTTGGTAACTATGGTTTTTGAGTGACTAGGGCATGTTAAACTCAGTCAAGTGTGTAGGGGTGCGCAATGCGTAGAAAGTCAATGCCAGAGTTATAACCTTTATTGTCCCCAGATGTGCGTCCTGTTGTTGAATTACCTTGATTCAATTTTTAAAAAAAACTGCATACACGAATTTTCTGTTTGCATTACTACTGCTTACTGATAATGGTTGCTGTGCAATGATGCAAACAACCAGCTCCTTCCATAATACATATATATGTATTTTTCTTAAGTTTTGAAACTTTTTATTCAAAATTTTTTGTATATTAGTTAGCTTTTAAATGTTTGAAGTATAGGATTTTTGAAAAAAATTATCTGGATCCAATATTAATTATTGGGTTGAGTTTTTCTTTTTTGATGATCCAATTAATATTTTTTTTAAATGAGATATTTAGAAAAACATACTCACATGACTTTCGCTGATACTCTATCAGCGTTCTCAAGTGAAATGTAGTGTTGTAGCTTTGTTATAGTACTGAACAACCTCGTTTGTGTTGAGATCGAAGTGTGCCATCAGTCATCTTGCTGTTATGACAACTGATGACCAAGCTATAACACCACATTTCACTTAAGAATGCTGATAGAGTACCAGCGTAACGTTGTGTGAGTACGTTTTTCTTAATATTAAAAAAAATAATTAATTGGGACATACAAAAAGAAAAGTAACCCTATAGGATTTTTTTGTATGACAGGTGCATTTACTTAAACATTTTGATGAATTAAGAAATTGCTATGTTGTTGTTAATCATGCATTCTTGATAATTATGTGACAAGCCAAACCAGTCACTCGTCGCAAATTGTATTTCAGGGATAATGGCCAAAACATGCTAAAATGTCGAAATTTTTAAAATCTATTTTATTGTACTAAACTAACCTTTTATATATCTATACATCATAATATGCTGTTATTTTCCCATTTTTCAATGTTAAAACAAATATTTTAAACAATTTTGGTGATGGTTTCCACCTGAGAAATGCCCGAAATCATAAACTTTGAAGGCTGATTTCTCAAATATTTTTCTTTAAACAGTTGTATGTTTAAATGCTTGTAACTTAATAAGGAAATGTCGGATTTAAATGATTTTTTTACTATTTTATAGCCCTCATTTTCATTTTTAACCCTTTATTAATATCTAAAAATTGATTTTTGTGACGAGTGACTGGGTTGGCTTGTCCTTGCTGCATATATAGGTGTTGAGTTCTTTATTTTAAATACTGTATTGAATGTTATATATTTGTTAAATTTTTGAAGATTTCTGGGTAGTTTATCACTTTTGGTTACTTTTTATCTTAAAAAATGTTATAATAAATATATAAATATTAATTAAGTAGAAACATCAGACTGTGTTCTATTAACATAACGATGTAGCTGTGATATAATATAACTATACCTCCTATTCTTTTGTCTTCTACGTTGTCGATCTAATAATCAAAATATATATAATATATCTGTGCTGGAGCGACAAACAGAGACAGCCATATAATGTTTGAAGCTTGCCCTAGATATTCAATTAAAGTGTTATTCTCAGTTTACATTATTCCTAGAAGGCACCTAGTTATTGGCAATAAATAGAGTAAAATAAACCCCAGTGGTAAGTTGTCGGGGAATAAAAGACAATGGTTTACATTATTTTGTTGTCAAATAGATACTGAATGAAATTGAACAAAAAAACATGATTTAAACTTGAATGGCGCTCAGACCAACTGCATCGCTCTATAATGTGTGGAAGTCACCCGACATGGATTTGACTTCAAAGAAACAACTCGGAAACATGTCAGGCATGGTATTGTTGCAAATAAGACATATTTTTGGAGGCAATCATATGCATTACCTAGCTTGTTCATACGTCGCTGAAGATCATTGATATAAAAACACCAATAACCATTTGATTTTGCCTTGCCAAACTCCATCAGCTCAAGACAATTTTTGAATACCATTCCGAGGCAAAAATACATATCTTCATTGGAGATAAGTTGTCTTGCCCCGTAATCTTACGCTGTTTTGCCACGGAAAGCCACTAGATTTTAGGTTTTGTGCTTAAAGGCAGGTGGTGCCATCTCTGAAATGTTTAATATACTAACAAGTGATATTATCTCAAAATCGACAAAAATGTCAGTTACGTTGTTTTGACTCGGGACGGCCGTGGGGCCCAGGGGGAGTCCCTTGACAACTAAAAACACTGGCAAATTTTGAGCTAATTCAAAAACAAGAAAAAAATGTGATGCGAAAATAGAATGTAATGCTTTAAAAAGGACCTTACTTATAGTGGAAGCATGGATTGAAAGCTCCATGGTAGAAGTGATCTAGCTCTTCCACTGTGGCTGAGAACATTAAAGCTGGCAAACCATCTCAAAAAGAACAGTAATTTACTTTTTCTGTAATGTAAGCTAGAAAAACAAGTTTATGCGAAATTACCCCTAAAGTGGATTGACAATCACAATATGCCTACTAATCCATTAAAAGACATTGGTATTTCTGATTTTATCTGAATTATACTTATTCATTATACAGTAATCGAGCAATGTAATTCCTTTTGAAAGGAGATCAATAAAAGTTATTTCTGATTTTCGATTTCTTGATTCAGTATTGACATTAAAAAATCATACAGAAAATGGAAACCAGCTGTTACTTAAAAGCCGCAGATTATCGCCGATCATACCTTGTCAAAACTCAAACTGGTACTTGCTGTCAAAATAAATGCGACATTCACAAATATGGCAAGTCATTTAACAAGGGAAATCCACTTGTTGATGTTGCAATGTTTTTGGATAATTACTGGACTCAAAATGTTGATACAAGTGAGGCTGTTTTATGTGTCGCCAGATTAGACCGAAATGCCACAAGCGCTGATGAGTTTACTTGTAATAAGTGATGTGCCGGTAACATCACCTCCCTAATCCAGCATTAAACCTTTTCTTGTTTCTACTGTACAAGATGATATCCAAGGTAGCATATAAACAATCTGCCTACACAAAACACATACACTCAACAACGGTATAAATACTTACAAATTTTCATTCAATATTAGTTCAATTAAAACTACAAGAAGCCTGAATGTGAATAGTTTGACATTTCTTGTGGAACATCGTAGGGGGGGGGGGGCAGGTAGAAATATTTTTTGTTAATTTCCATTAATTTTATTTTTAATTTTTAATAGCAATAATATTTTAAAAGGAATAAACATAAGCAGTTTGGGGATTAAACTCATGTTTGTAAAAGCAGATGTTGGGTACTATCAACTGCCTAATATTTCTGTTCTAGCAGATTAGAATCTTAAAAGTTTTTCAAGAAACATAGCAAATTAAAAAAAAACCCTGTAAAATGCCAGAATGTGATTAAGATATTAATATGGTACGCAATCATGAAATGGGTTAAACTATTTATTATCAAATGGACTTTTTATTATTAAATGTAGACACAATTGCAATTTATTTGCTGGCTTTAATGCAAAGTACACCATACGAAATATTCAATTCACATACCTTGTAATTTGTATATATATAAAAGTAAAACGATTCTTGCGTGGGCTGAATGCTTAATCAAGTTTTCAAGTCAATATCCTGAGTGCAAAGTAATTTATTGACTTTTATGATTTTAGAAGCAGATTGAATGTTAAAATTGTTAGGAAATACTAATAGAAAATGAATTAGTGACCTGTTTATCAGATTCATTAATTTAGTTTTATTATATACAATTTCATATATTAAAATTAATGATTCAAGTTCTCTCTATTGCCAGTACAAGATTTGGTCCCTCTGGTGAAGTAAAACGAATACAAAAATATCAAAACCTATCAGATTGAATTTTACTGTATCTCATTGGTAAAGTAAGATATAAAAACAGACTGAACAAGGTAAACGATAACAACTTAGCAACAATTATCACAGTATAAAATTGGAGAAAGGATTCCTAAGAAGCAATCCGAATATGATCCTTGATTCTTGCAAAAGGCATAGATCGCATACGTTGTGACAAATATGCACTGTAGGGGAAGGGTTGTCTAAAATCTAATGACGTAATCATATTCGTTATCGTTTTCGTAAGCTTGCACAAACTCCATATTAACTATAAGTGCACTTTAAGAATACCAATGTCATAGCGCCACCAAACATTGCATTCTGTTGTTGATATTGGATCTATGCAACCTTGTCAATATAATGTATTGACCCAGCCCTCTCTTTCTACAAGTGGGTACCTGGCTACAATGTCATAGCACTGATTACATAGCTGTAATAGTAAAGACTTGTCCTCTAGGTGTTCAATCCAATGACCAGGGTCAAAATGCAAAGCGCAAATAGACTTTTGCAATAAGCACAATATAAGATTGATATAATGTTATTATTATTATTGTTGTTGTCTGTAATTATAATTTATAATTAGAAAAATTCATTTTTTCTAGTCTTGTCATAAAAAATATGAAACTTACACAACAGTTTCTGATTCTGAAATAATGCATGGAATGTAAAAGACCTACATACATCAAGAATGTCAAATTAACTGGTGGCACTGTGTCGGTAATTCACAGAAAAAAATATGGAGGCAGATATTTTACATTCCATGCATTTGAAAATGGTAGCTTTTGGTGATCAAAATTTTCATGAAAGTTAAAATTTTTAGTCTACATTTAAAAAAAAATTTATCCTCATATTATTACTACTACTACTATTACTACTTTAATACTCTACCAGACTTCATGTTAAAACGTCCCTATTTCTTTTTTTGAATATACAATACAGATAAGAACATGGTATTAAAATATAAACTAAGTAAACATATATATTTATTAATTAAAAAAAAAACTCACTGCTTTTCGAAGAGAAGACAAAGGCTGTGAATATCAAATCAATGTCATTGACTTGCACAAACGGTCCTTTTAAAGAATCTGACCTCTGAACTTCATAAGATTTTAAGCACCGCGAGTGGACACAAGATTCTTGCCAGAGTAGGAGGACATCATTTGGACCAATAGTCAGAGACCTAAGACCAGTCACCTAAAAGAACAGTAAGGGGTTAATTCATAATTATTTATTCATTTATGTATATTTATATATTCTTATAAAACAACATAAAAGCTGCAGCCAATATCTACAACAATTGTATTTAAAATTGTGTAATATTACAGTACATTAAAACAGTCAATATGATAATACTTTTCTAGAAAAAAAAATATGAATATAAATTAAAACAAAAAAATAGAACAAATTTAGATCATTAGTACAGTAATCACAATGAAAAGTAATAAGAATAACATCATCAGGTTTTCTTGCTGTTCATGGTGCAATGTATGTCCTTTGCAATTTGAAATTTTTTAAAATGTTAATATTTTTAAATTTCTTTGTATGATTTAATAAAGAGGGCAAATAATTTTTTTTGTATCTTGTATCTCTGGATCATCAAGGTAAAATGGAGCACTATTCTAAGTAGCCAGAAACACATGGTGAGCCAGAGAGAATCTAGATTTTGTTAGTGCAGAGGTGGCAGAACCGGTACGGCGGCCGCCGCACCAATATTTTGACATGATTGTTTTCAAATACAGGCCTATTTGTTTATGTAATCCTAGATTTAATTGTATTTCACCTTAGTCCTACTTAAAAAATAAACTCCCGATTTCAACTTCTGCAACCTTAATATTATCATTACCGACCTAATTTGCATTCTGACCAGACACAAAGCGTACCCATTACAAATTCTAACTTCAAATTTCAGACAAACGTTGATCAAAAAGATGTACTAGAATTCTTGCGTGGAAAAAAAGAGAAGTTACTCTTCAATGAAGTATGCACGTCTTATTTTAGGCATGCCTGCAACGAATGCAACAAGCGAGCGATCTTTCTCAACTATGAGGAGAATAAAATCCAATTTACGTAATATAATGGGTGAACCACGTCTGAATAACCTAATGATGTTGAACATTCATAAGGAAAAGCTTGATAATTTAGACATCAACAAGATTGCGAATGAATTCGTTAGTGGGAATGAGCATAGATTGAGTATTTTCGGAAACTTCAGTAATGGGGTGTAGGTTGACCTTCCAGTTAGAAAACATGTTTTATGTAGGTTTTGCGGCAATTGTACATTATCCATATATTTGACATGATGTTAACGTTTGATTAAAGTCAAAATATGTGATGTGTGATAATTTAGACATCAACAAGATTGCGAATGAATTCGTTAGTGGGAATGAGCATAGATTGAGTATTTTCGGAAACTTCAGTAATGGGGTGTAGGTTGACCTTCCAGTTAGAAAACATGTTTTATGTAGGTTTTGCGGCAATTGTACATTATCCATATATTTGACATGATGTTAACGTTTGATTAAAGTCAAAATATGTGATGTGTGATTGCAATCTTCCATAGTCTATTATTGTATTCATTCACTGTAGTGTGATTGAACAAATGATGAATGAAAAAAATGAATTAACGAAATAAAGAACTTTACAAAACTTTCTAACCTCAGCCCCAACCAAGGTGGGGCTGATGTTATTGGTGACTTTCACACCATACCAATCAATACATGCTTTCACCGCCCTTGTAGTGTAGACAATTGACAGAATTTGTACCTACTCCAAGTTTTTGTAACATAAAAAACACCTTTAAAAAAAATACTTACATTTCATAAAGGAGATTAAATTGATTGTTTATGTTGATAATGGACACATTTCATTTTAATGCTTTGATTTTCAAATTCTGAAATTGTAGCAATTCAGTTTTTACTGCCAGTATAATTATTTCATTTCATTCCATTTCATTTCATCATTATTTGAATAAACCTTTTTGAATTAATGATTGAATGAATGAATAACTGTGTGGTAGTCTAGCAACATGAGCTTTTCACAGTGTGTGCATTTCTCATTAGTTAACGAATGCACTAATGACAACGAATATCGAAATTCCCTAATGAAGAAATATCACCATCATATTAAATTAAACTAAACATATTCTTTATTACATTCACAATGAGTGAGCGAGCGCTAAGATATAGTGAGGACATGTCTCTGAGCAATTCTTGAATAGTGTCATTGTCCTCACTTGAATAGTCGTCGAAAGAAAACAGAAGAATATTGCAAAATTATTATTATTAGTATACCAGGGTTTTTGCATTCCTAAGTGTGTTCCCAATTGTGTCAGGGACATCTACGCAGTGCAAGGATTGCCGTGAAAACGCTGTAGCGAATGTGAGCGATTGGATGAAAAACCAAGTTCTACACAATTCTATGTGGTAATTAGAAATAGGCATTTATTCAAACAGGTGCTTATGCACTTATTCGAAATTTTGGGGGTGCTTATTTATCAAAGGTTGTTTACTGTTTGATCAAGGAACAACCAACAATGAAGCATAATTTCTTAACCAAACCAAATCAAATTTAAATGATCATGATTCTTCAGAAGTAAATTATATGACTCTTTAGACGCGAAAAACTTTTATTGTTATTTATATTTTAAATTAACACATTAACACTGTTATTATATATAAATGCGATAGAATAATATTAATAAAAATTGCATAAATTTGGTAGTTATTCACATGTTAGACAATGGTCATTCATAAGGCAAGAGTTTTTTCATACCTTGTTTCGCAAACTAATTTTTTTAAAGATCATCATAGGAGGGCGGAAAAAACATAAAAATATAACTTGTTTTCTTATTTAGCAAATGGTTTTGTCAAAAAAATCGAGATGGAAGAGAAAATAAAAATTAAATTTCATTGGCAAATGTAAACAGTGTAATGCTAAATGCTAATCATAAATGCTTTAAATTTATGTAATTAGGAAGAAATATACATATCTTATTTTTGGAGATTTCAAGGCAGCGGTGGGCGTAATAAAAAAAAGAAAAAACTTTTTTTCATGGCAGTGGGTGTGCTAATTGGCCATAAATTTATTTTTCTCCTAAATCATCATTATGGCGTGTGGCGGGTTGACTAAACAAGGTATAAAAAAGTGTCTCGCCTAATTCATAAAACATGAAACATAAAACAGCCAGAGAGGGCAGCAGACATGTAAATGTCACAATGCAGAATTAATGATTAACTGTAGCTTCTCTGTTGACTTATTAGCTGTGGAAACCAGAATACACAACGTATTACCAAGCAAATTGCTCACTTAATTGCTCTTTAAGAAATTAAGTATGAGTGAACTAGAGTAAAAAATTGGCTTTATGCAGGTTTCTTTCATGTCATTCATGTCATAAGCATACTTTTGAAAAGAATTAATGGAAATTTATGATGTCAATTTGTTCAATATAAAAAATGCATATCGTCAATCGACCTATATTTGATAAATGGTTAACAGAGTAAAATTTATCAACAACTTACATTCTCTTTACCCATACACTTCTATTTTCAATATAAGTTCTCAAAAGACATTACAAGAACTAGATATGGTAACAATGGGGATTTCTTAGCTTTGTCAAGCCGCGAATTGTTTGTGTGATACGTTCTATGGTTCAACAACAGAGGCTTTTAATGGAAAAGAAGAGTGTTCAAATGCTTTAGATGATTCTTAGGAATATCGGCCAAGGATTGCGATATTACTGTGTTTGTGTATTAGTATAATACATCACATCATAGACAACTGTATGTATGTATATATATATATATATATAAGATGACTGGATGTCAACTGGCTAGTACACGGGGAGAAAAATCATTAGGTGAGGGACACTACCTTGAAAAATAATGTGCAAGCCCGTAGCCAGAATTTTGGTAGGGAGTTCTTTTTGATACTGAAAGGGCACTTGCGAGCACCATTGGCTGGGGCCTGGGGGGCCGCCAAGGGCCCCCCCCCAGGGATCCAGGGCCAAAATCCCAGTGGGGGTCCAGCATTCTAAGCATTTACAGGTGTTATTTAATTGATTTGAGAGGCCATACATTAAAAAAAATGTATATATTAAAGAGGTAATTTTTTGAGTTGGGAAAAGATAAAAAACAAAAAAAAAGCAAAAAAACTACTGCTTTAGTACTACAGTATCACTTTGGAAGTTGTATCATACTATACTCACTTAAGACAATCAATAACAAAAAGAACCGAGACAAATTTGTATGGTTGGTTGTAGCGTATTATAATCATATATATATATATATACACACAGGTGAAACTATCCCCCGCCGGACACCATCCCGGTATTTCTGAGTCAAGGTTTCGGGGCCTGAATTTTTTATGTTACTACCTGTAGGTAGGCCTAACAATCAGGAATTACAATAGGACTTTTAATGATGATAGGCTAGGCCTATAGTGTAAGGTTAGCCAGCCTTTGTTGAAAGGGCACTTTATTATTATTATTAGTGTTATTACACTATAATTCAGTCAACACAATAAATCCAAACACATACAAAGAAGGGTTAGCAACAACAGAAAAAAACGTCAGGATGTTTATACTTTTCATTGATATCCAGATAAATATGTGCTTATCCTTAACTATTATGTGAATGTATATGACTGTCACTATATAATTAGTACACTATGGTTTATCATTGTAAACATTGTATCGAAACAAATATAAATCAACTATATAATGATGTACAGGATAGGTTGTTGTGAAAATCTTTGCTCTATGTCTCATCAATCTTTACAACTTTATTAACCACAAATGAATTCAAAACGCTCGCTGCCAGCGACGAGTATACTCATCTCACAGGACGTTGCTGAGGGCGCTAGGGATGACTATACTCATCAAAATCAGGGTGACATTCTAGCATTTATTACTTCTTTGTTATATATTGTGGAACCACAGACTTAATGGCTAGTATTTCTGGGAAGATACAACTAGACGATAACGTACAAATGACGTATGTATGTTTGTTGTGCTATGTTGCCTGAAGTACACTCGAGCGGCACAAGCCGTCTGGCCGTCTTTTGGATGGCCAACAATTATTTTACAACTAGCCTAGTTGGGCCTGGTCTACCTTTAGCAAATTCTTTATATTCTTTGAATCTATCGAATGTTGTATCAAAACTAAAGCATATTTACGTTTGATAAACAACCTTTATTGATTGAATTTACGTTGTTTTCATACTGACATTCAGTGGGGATTCCCAAAAATGTATAAGGCTAAACAATTGTCTACCAGGTGGAAATTTCACTTACAACATTTGTATGTCGTTTAAAAACATATTTATACCCCGCTGGAAAATGGACGGTTCTATGTCGCCCACAACGCATGCACATGGCTCTGCAAACTTGAGATTCAGTTCTCATAACTCCCTGGTTATAATTAATTCATAAAATACTGTAAAACAGATTTGTTGTTAACATCACAAGTTAAATTTTAATAGTCAACAAAATACAGTAGGCCTAGGCCTATATATCTCTCGATTCAGAAGACCTAGAGTAGAATTTACACTAGACTAAGGAGAGAGATGAAGATGCATCTGCATAGCCTAGAAAAATAATGTGAGTAAATAACTGTAGCTGTGGGCAGTATATGTCTATACTGAAATATCTTTGTGATAGCTAATTCAACACTATTACATTGAAGACAAAATTCCAACATTTAAAGGTCACAATTACTTTTATTTCTTAAGTAGGGAGGTGAACACCCCCTCCCCAACCAACCCCTGCACGGGGCTATGCCCCTCGGCTGTCGCTATGCGACAAGTTCTTCGTCTTTGAATGGCCTATTCTGGCTAACCCCTTGGGCACGCCCTTTGAAAATATACCAACACATGCCAAAAAGCGGATGAGAAAACTCGCACTTTGCATAGTCAATAAAAAGTGCTGTCACAGTGACGCTGACAAGTTTACTCGTCTCCTAATATTTTCCTGCCAATTTATTAGACACATCATTTTGATGATATATTACTAGATAAAATTTCAAAAACGTTATGTTCATACATGTAAACTCTGGAACACAGGAAGGAACCTTAAAAAACAGTCGGGCAGTCAATGTGTTAAATACCACTGTTGTATATGACTATACAGTATCTCTAAAGTTACGTACTGTAAGTTAACAACTATAAATTTTGTTTAATTCTTTGTTAACAGTTTTTAAAAATATTGTTTAAATCAATAAAAAAATACTGTATGCGTGAATTATCAAAATGAGCTCGATACCAAAATACTGTCATTCATGGTTTGAGAATTTATTTATTTAATTAGTTTAAAGAAACAAAAAAACAGTTACTCTGAAAACGGAGACAATTTGAATCCTCAAAATGTCTCTGTATTCGGAGTTACTGTATAACCCAGTATGACAGAATAACCCACATACTGCAGTATAAAAAAAAATGAATACATAAATCCCTAATGTCCTCACTAATTGGTAGATTACAAGAAACATCTCATGAAGTTATTGGTATAGTAGGCTCAGTTATCTGTCATTAAAAAATGTATATTTTTGTTCTGATTGAAGAGTAAGTCGCAGAATTTTGCAATTAATTATGTTTACCTGATCAGGTGCGGAGGAAGATTTACTGCACATGTGCAGCAGCAGAACACCAGGCTTAGGAAGGTTAACATTGTATGTTTGCTCCTTGGATTTCACAGGCTTCGGTCCATCAACTCGAACAGGTTCCTAGGGGTAAGAAAGATAATAAATAATAATAAGGTATTTTGACAAGGCTTCTATGCATTTCACACTATTACACCAGTCATTGAAATGCATGCGGAATACATAGTAAACTCCCTGGAGGAGTATCCGATAATGATGCAGCTATCAGAGCAACAGTATTAAAAAGTAAAAGGTACCCACTTATACGCTTGGGTACAGAAAGGCATCATGAATAGTACATTGCCCAAGGACAATAATAATAATAAAAAGTGACATTTATAGAGCACTCTATGCTGGAAAATCGACGCAAACACGTACAGTAGCATCATTGACATCGTCATTGTCATCATTAACATAATGATTACTGTCAATAATAAAGATAAAGATTATGATAGCTGTGATTTAACAGAAATTACATTAATATATTAATTATCAATATCAATATTATTATCTTTCCATTTTCATTTTTTAAATTTAAAACTTTATCAAAATATATAATTATTATATTTCAATGTTTATAAAATTGATTTATCATCATTTCCATTGCCTATTGTCGTTAAAAGAAAAAAATAAATGTGACATCTCAAATTTACGATTTTTAATTTTTCAGAACAATATCTGAGAACATTAATGTTGACATTTAGTACATTAATGTTTAAGATTTTCAATGGCTGACGACAACTATTTGGCATTACAATATCAAACACATAATTCAATAACTCGTAGTAATTATGTTCTTGAGCTCTATGGCCATTTATTCTACTACATGTCAAATAAAGCTAGGAAAAGGCTAATGCATTAATTTACTTAACCTTTGAACTTTTCAAATAATTAAATCAATTAATGGTTTTAACAATTATTTCCCATGAGAGACAGATGTTTCTGTGAAATGTTGCAACATCAATATCAGAAATAACAATTTCAACATAAATAACATTTCTTCAAAGTCAAAATAAACAACAACTTTAGATCTGAAATATCAATTAAGACCAAGCACTGGGTCATCACAATGGCTAATAATCATTTGCCGATTCGTTGGACGTTGATGTGAAGATTTATAGGCTATTCCTATATCTTAATGCTTGTGCACTGTACTAGATTATTTATATCATGTCATATCAGTTTAGTATGACAACCTGTCTGGCTGCTGTCTGCTTTTTTTCTGCTCATCTCTAAACATTATATTTATTTCAACTTTATTCTCAATGACATTGGCTTTCATTGTGGTTTTGTTTTTAATGCAAAAATACATAAATTCCCAATAAATTCTAATAAAAATAATGAGAAAAATGTGCATTTATTACATCACTAAAACCAAAAGTTTTAATCACAAAATGAAAATGTAACACTAAATCTATATTAAATATGAAACAAAATTAAAGTCGCACTACAAACAAATATAAGTAAAGCAACCCTCACATTATCACGACCTAGCACTGCAACCGTACCAACCTGTGGTCGTATACTGGAAGTATGATCTGCCCTCTTGTCATTTATGGGTGGAAAGTAACAATGGCCAATTTAGTAAAATGATTACGACACGTGTGAGAGCAACTACATAGACTGGCGACCAGTACTGACCACAATAAATTTTTCAACATGTTGAAAACTCCGGGACCATGCACAACCTCTGCCTTGTTACTAGCAAGTTGCTCTTAGCTACTATCACACTATCATGACCTGGCCACGATAGTGTTGGTCGTGTACCGATCACAGTGTAGGTCGTGATAGTGTGAGAGTAGCTTTAGCGTCTAAATTTCAAAATTATTCTACTCACTCACAGATGCCTATATGGACACACTCCATACTATCTTTCTTCATCAATCTCACTAAAATTATCTTTAAGTTCCACAAGACAGACTCTCTCAGGTTGTCTGTTCCTAGAATGCTGCATGCTCGTACTGGCGAACGTTCTTTTTTATAATATTTTGCCACTCTGAAATTATGGAACTCTCTTCCACCTAAACTAAAATCAACTTAAGATACTGACGCATTCAAGACCCTACAGTACTTAAACCTTATCTCTTTAATCAAACACTTGTGTCTTTAAGCTTCAGTGACAAATAATATTTTCCAACAGGCGCTATACAAATTCTCCAATTATTATTATTAATATCAGAGCAAAATAAAATTACTTCATTTTCTGCTATATTTTAACATGAAATGATCAGAGCCTAAGTTAAATTTATCTTAATCCACTTACAGTACCTCTAACTTACTCTATATAATTCTCTCACTAATCTGCTTACAATCCAGTACACTACTAGCTAATCCCTTGACTACTAGCTAATCCCTTGGTGTTTAATATTTCAAAACCAATTCTTCCTTCAATTATATCTTACATGAACTTTGAGGATATTAGGATGAACATGAATAATATATGTAATAAGGCAACATATAGAAAGATGTGCTTGTAATTCAAATATACACCGATCAAGAAAAAAACCTTTTAAATACAGATCTGTTAAACAATGAACATTTCCAGAATGTCCATCAAACTTAACATGGGCAGAAATATGCGTGTGTGCTACAAACACACGCATGTGTTTGTTTGCTTTTACATTATCATTTGTGCAGTGGTGGCTCTAAAACATATTTTCTGGGGGGGAAGAAGGGGGTCTGAGCTATCCAACAGGGGGGCTTGAACTTTGTAGGCCCGAGACTGGGGGAATGCTTTGAGAGGGTGTTCCCCCTCCTAAATGAAATTTTTTAAAGCATAGGAGCCTCTGGATGGCTGGACAATTTTTTCGCAATGAGTGACTGGTTTTGCTTGTCTTTGTCACATACATAGACCCTATATAGGGTCTGTGTCGCATATGTCCATCAAACTTAACATGGCCAGAAATATGCGTGTGTGCTACAAACACACGCATGTGTTTGTTTGCTTTTACATTATCATTTGTGCAGTGGTGGCTCTAAAACATATTTTCTGGGGGGGAAGAAGGGGGTCTGAGCTATCCAACAGGGGGGCTTGAACTTTGTAGGCCCGAGACTGGGGGAATGCTTTGAGAGGGTGTTCCCCCTCCTAAATGAAATTTTTTAAAGCATAGGAGCCTCTGGATGGCTGGACAATTTTTTCGCAATGAGTGACTGGTTTTGCTTGTCTTTGTCACATACATAGACCCTATATAGGGTCTGTGTCGCATAATATCTTTATTACTTATCTTACAGTATTTTAATTACTTTCATTATCCTTTAATATATAATCTTATGCATACTAGCTACTGATAATAATTATAAATATTTATATTATTTTTCATTTTATAAATGCATTTTGGAATTCTATTTTCATATCCAGGCATGAGGGAATTTCATATTTTTTCACTTGTCCCCAGACAATACCTTTGAAAAAATAATGCACATAATCCTGAAGACAATTTTACTTGTCCCAATATTATTGCGCAATAATCATAAGAAATAACACAAAAGTAAAGCATTTTTGCTATGGCCCTACAACGTCAATAGGCCAATATGCATACTGCATTGGCCACACAAAAATGTTTTTCTTTTTCTTTTTTTTTTGTAATTAATTTGCAAGAATTTCAATATGTATGATATGGAAAAATTAAAAAAAATAAACAATATTGATGGCAGGTTATTATGAGGCCAAAATCGGTTCGCCGGACCAATTTTGGCCCCGGACCGAATTTTTCCTGACAGGCCTAATGGCTGTTGTTCATATTCCTACTCAAGAGTAGTTACTAGTCTTGAATTACAAACATTTCTTGTCGTCCAACTTATCTAATCAACAAATGGCTGTGTGCCCAAAGTCTTTGAAGATGCCTGGTATTTATAGAATAGACCAAAGCGAACTTACATTGTAAACAGACCATCATGCGAAAATAAATACCTGCTAATGCACACCTACGACAGATCTGGCTAAAAATGAACAATTAGAGAATTAAGAATTCATTTTTAATGTTTACTGCAGAAAATAACAAATATTATATTGAATAGGCCTGCATTTTCCTTTTAAACCGGGAGGTACTAATTAAAATCGCGGGAGTGCTGGTGGCTCTAAATTGATGTTTATTGATTAATAAATAATAATTGAAAACTTGTTACACTAATAATACCAACATTATTAGTGTATGAAATTTGATAAGAGTTGCAAGTACTGTACAGTGTATATGACAAGTTCTAGTCACTGACATAGCATGTTTAATGTTAATTATTTAGGCCTATATCGCGATATGTTGAGTCACGTTGCTGAAAATTGAGACAACAACGTGGAGCACCAGAGCAGTGCGTAACCGCAGTTGGTTTCTGTTTGATATCTCTTTGTGCGCTGAAAAAGTGTTAATAAAATATGCAGCGTATTGTCAAGACTTTTTATAACGAAAGTAAAAGCATCACGCATTATTGTACATGGTGAAGTAGCCTATTCAAAAAGTGCTTGTCCAAGGACAAGTGGTCCCTAAAATTCTAGTTGTCCGACCGTAAAACACACTTGTTTCGGGCGTCGGGCAAGTGGGTTCGCTCATGCCTGATATCTATTTTAACTTGGAAAGGAAAACACAGGACCATTCATTATTAGTCAAATGAATAAAATAAAATAATAATAATAAATATATTTAAATAATGAGCAAGTGGATGCAAGCACCATTCTAAGAGTGTTTACCAAGATATAACAAAAAATGCTTGTAATAACACTCCTATTTTCTCTTAATTTTGTGTCTGTGTACTCTAATGCATTGAGTAGAATTTAACAGATGTAATCTCCTGAAGACAAACTGAAGCAACTCAAGCGAAACATCAAGAAATTCTCAAAAAAAAACAACAGTTCTTTTCAGAACTATCTAGGTGGTGTACTGCAAGCATTAATATATAATTACTTCACCATAAAAACGAGTTTCGAAACGCAGCACGCATTCTATACAAACGCCTTTTACGTTCTTTTTAAGGCAGTACTTTTTAAGGCAGTACTTTTTAAGGCAGTAATTTTTAACATTCCATTGCCTGCATTTAAAATAAATTTGGCGATGTTCATTTACAGCGGGTCACATGAATAACGGTGGGAATACCATGGGAAACATTACAGCGCTATCAGTGTAAAAGTATAGGAAAAGGTAGTGTTATTGTTACGAAAACAACCACCTACTGTTAACGCGAGAAATAAATGCCAAGGAAAGGCAATACGATCGTTCAAAATAGTGTTTATTTACTTATTCTAACGTTCTCCTTGCATCGTATGCTTTGATATTTATGTGATCATTTGTAAACCTTAGCTAGCCTAGAAATCGTAGCATATTTCGCGGATTGAAAACTCTCATGCATACCTTAACAGGCCGTAGATATGCAGGGGCCTAGGCCTAACATTTGTCGAAAAATCTCCCTTGGACAAGTCACACAAAGTTTGTGTGGTGAATTTCGAAATATCAACAATCGACTTAGAGTAAACTTAAATCATGTTCAAAAGAACAAATACAGCAATTATATAATAATCTTTTACAGTAATAACAAGGGACAGTCCATTGATTTATCCAAACAACACCGAAGTTAGGTCACGTGACGCCCATCACCGAATCGGTCTATTGTTGTATGATCATATAAAGTCATGATCTGCTTATTTATGGTCATGATGTGATGTCATCATGACCATATTTAGGCATGTCACATGTGGTTGTCAAATAATATTGATAGCCTGAACATTGCTGAAAGTTTAAGGGGTTTAAATGTGATTCATTAGAACACATCTGGTTGGGTTAGCTAGGGGCTAGTTAGAATCAAAATCCATGACCATGAAATTGTCCACGACTATGCCCTGCCTTATCTCCCTTCAACAAATCAAATCATGGCCAATATCATACAGCCTAGCATTCGGCTTTAGATTAAAGAAAACCTTAAAACAAAACTCTGATTATAGCTGACAAAGGATTTGAAGCTGCAGCACCAAATGTACGGCATGATCTCCTGTATTACTTGTGTCGCACACCATCGCTTCGACAATTCAGTACATCTGTCAGGAATTATCATTATCGTAATGCTTTTATGAGGTGTGAAGTCGAGTAGTTGTCGTTGACATTTTCATCTGTCAACGCACAAACAGAAGAAAAAATGATCTCTTGGGTTCACTCAACTTGTCTAGAAACATGAAAACACATTTTTTTTCCTCTAGAATGATACTAATAAATCAACTACAAATGGGCTTTAGGGTCATAATAAATGGTAATTATTAATATTTTCACACCATTATCCTCCCACTGTTTCTTACAAGAATGAGATCAGTTGGAATCTATGGTGCTTTATAACCACAGCACATAATGTAATAATAACAAAGGCATGATAAATATGAAAATATCAGTAAATAGGAGTTGAAGTTAAGCATCTTAAACACCAAGATGCAGGCTCAATATCTAGACTTCCAAAATAATAATAATAATAATAATAATAAAATAATAATTAATAATAATAATAATAATAATAATAATAATAATAATAGATGGATTTATATAGCGCAAATAAACATAATAGTTAAGAGGGCAACAAAAAAATAATGGAAATAGCAAGGAAAAAAAACAAAAAACACAAAAAATACACCAAGCTAGCACCAAAACTGATGTATCGGCTTCAGTTGTATCAGCATCAGTTAAGGCTTCATATTTTCTGGGATCAGGTGCCTCCTAACCTGGACCAAACAACACTAGCTAGCGAGGTGGAACAAAGAATTTATGTTTATATTGTACAGTTATGCTCATGGAGTTTTTGCATTTCTACTTATTTTTCTTTTTTTTTTGTTAGCTACAGTACCTGAACTCCAAGCAACAACAACGCCCTGAGATTGATTGGTATACAACGAGTATTTGAATTCCTATTTATCTTCCTAGAGCACATTTACTGCACAAAATTTATGAGACAGGGAATATAAGCGAAGTAGATTTCATGGTGACACTCTCCCTTCCCCACCCTCCACCACATTATAGTTACCAAACCCATCTATACCCTAGAAGGCTTCACCTTTTTTTACAAACCCAGTAAATTCCGTACATCTATTTATATTTCTATCAGTCTGTCCGTGCGTCTGCCTGCACACCCACTTTCAACCAACGCACCAATTTATCCACCCACCTATCCACCAACTCATCCATTCATCATCCATACTCTTTCAATACTAATCTACTGAGTTCTCAAGCTGTTCAGATATATACAATCAACATAAAAATGAAACTAAGAATATAAAGCGACCTTTTACAAGTATCAACAAAACTAATAATGCAGATCAACAAACACAAAATTAAACTAGAAACTAACAAAAAAAAAATGTAACTAAAAAAAAGGATTTTTGATATTGACTAAAGCTTAAGATGAAATATCATTTTTGAAAGGTGATACTGTCATGTTTGGAAACTTTTTTTTGATATGATTAGGTAGAGAATACCATAATTTGTATGATTTGCAGTGAAGTATTCTTTTACCTCGAAGAAATATTGAATCCATTTATCGTATATATCTGCAGTAAAAGCAAGTTTGTTTGACATTATGATGGATCATTTCTTTTAAAATATTTTCATATCATAAAGAGTTTGCTCATTCTATTTATCATTAGGCTTTAGACAATTCCAATCATAAGAATTTAAAATCTCATAAAAAGGATATTTGCCATCTACTGATAATAACAGTTTACATCTATTTAATAGTATTCAGCAAAAAATGCATCTCCCCTTGTAATTGACGCCTCCAATAGAACTCACCCGTTGGCTCTAGCGCTGATCTTTATTATAATGGCTGGATTGCTCATTGGCTGGTTTTAGTGAGGTCACTGACACTATGTTGGGAGCCCAAAATGTCATAAATATGTCATCAAAGCGCAAAACTTTGTAACTAGCGCAACATCACTTGTGCTTTTGTAAACTGCACAGACATGGAGAGTGGCTAGAGAATTTTTAAAAATCATTTCGTAAAATTTAAATTATTATTAAAAAAGTATTGCAGTAATCATTATTTTCAACAATAATTCAAACAAATGCCAAAAAAAACATGTCTAGACAGGTACGTTACTTGGGCTCTTGCATTTGACGTCAGTGCTTCACTTTTTTCTGTAAAATGATTGGCCGATGAACAATGGAACTAGAGTGAGGTGTGTGACAATGCATAAAAAAGCACTGCACATGCGAGTGGGAAAAGATAGGACAGACAAAATTGTTCGTTGTTACGATATGTATGGTAAAACCAGGGAGAACCATCTGGCATGTTGTACTAAATGTGGGTGTGGAACACTGGTGTGGTATGGGAAGGTGGAATTTTATGAAGATGGTCGTGCGCAATCTTAGTTGATTACGCAAGACCATCTTCAATTTGTTGTAGAATTTTGGACACCTTATGTAAGGACACGTGACATAGTAGTATTGCGAATTTATTTTGGCCTGAGAATAAAAATTACAATGTTTGGCAGCATAAATATAATAGGAAAGCTTCAGTAATGAACAATGTCCCCACATCGCGTCTCAAACAAGAGATACAGATTGTTTTTTTGTATTACTCTAAATTCTTCCGTATAACCAACTAATCACTGCGTTCCAATTCTTTTTTTCTCGCCAGAGGGCATTCTGAGAAGATTGCATCCAGCTCTTATAATAGAGATCAGTGGGCTCTCCTCATCCTGCATTTTATGATACATCAAATCATTCTATGGCTTCGTTGGGCTAATCTTACCTGGTTATTTCGCATTGTTCTAAATTGTTCAAAAGTCGGAAAATCTGGTTTTCCAAACAATGTCCAATTGTGGTAAGGATTTCCATGGTTGTTGTCAATTAGGTAAACACAGTAGAAAAGATCTGAAATAATAACAACAATAACAAGAACAATAATAATATAGTAATAATAACAATAATAATCAGATAAACAAGATAATCTGAGATTACAAACCTCACCCTTTTGCACCATTATCGATAACTGAGAAAATAATGACATTTAATTGCATGATGGTCGCATCGCTTCATCATAGGCCGTGTGGTAAGCCCATCAATAGAGTGAGTTTGCATGCTGGCCGGACTGTTTCCAGTCCGCCGGCCAAAATTTGACTCACCGCCGACTCTGGCCCGCGATCCGGAAAATATATTAATAACATTCTCAAATCTACATCCTACTTCCAATCAGCACCAAATTTGAGATACATGTAACATGGTCAATGTGTGAAAATTTGAAGTAAATCGATCCAGTAGTTTTTGAGTTATGCACCCGGAAGGATAAACACACCACGCACAGACACACACACACACACACAGATACGTGCTATTGCAATACCTATCACATCTCCTTCGGAGAGGCGAGAGTAATGATAATAATAATAATAATAATCATAATGATAATAATTGGGTAAATAATGATATTATTAAGTTGGATGAAATTCCTACATTATAAATTATTTATTAATGATAACAATAATAATGACGATTGAACAAGTAACTGTACATTTATATTTTAACTAGAGATACTGTTAACCATTAGTTAAAATCAAAATTTAAATTTTGAAGTATCAATCACATCTGTAAGTGCAGTACAATTGTGCAGCAGTTAAGTCTGTACACGTGCTAACTTTATACGTCATTAAAAGCGATCAAGTAAACTCATTAAGAAATGTATGATGTACAGTATGATGATAGTATTCTGTAAAAAGTGATTTAGGGCATATGATATGCGTGTATTTACAATCATAATAATAATAATAATAATAATAATAATAATACTACTATATTTTTGGCTAAATTCTCTCTCGTGATCCCCTTTAATGAGGCACTGGGGAAAAGTTGTTTTGCTTGAAATGAGAGGTCCTGATAAACCTCGGTCACATCTTTGCCACCCACATTTTTGTTTACACCCTAGGTTATGTATTACTTCCGATTTAATCAATTTGTCATTTTGGTTGTCTATGTCTTCTGATGTCTCTAAATTTGCTGGATAGGTTAATCAAAATTGTTGGGACCTCTGGGAAATTTATCACATTTCCCCCCTCCTTTTACCACATCTGTTTAAATCTATAAGTTCAACGTTCTCTCTCTTAAAAAAAGCATCCAAAATAATATGACATTAACACATTAAAAATTTCGTTCAGAAGTTACAGACTAACATAAAAATATGTTGGTCTTATAGCGCATAATTACATTATTAAGCTGATCACTTAGATCAAATATCTGGGGAACACACCAACTCCCAGGGGTAGATCCCACAATGCAATAGTAATCAGCACATTCTATTCTGAGGTAGCAGATAGCAGATTGGATTAGTAACCATTACCTAAAGATGAAAAATTATACTTTCATAACAATAACATTATACCTTACTGCATTTGATATTGTAATGAACACAGTAAACTGTAAATAAGCTCATTAATTTTTCTCATTTAATCTATGTTTTAACTGATTTGATTTGGTTAGAATTTATTTGGAAAATCATCACGGTTTTTATAGAATTGATACACCAAAGGCAGCATAGGACTGTATAAGACAAAGTATTATTATATTTTTCAAATGTCCATACAGTTTATATTTGTTTGTTATATTACTTACCCTTGTGTTTTGTGCATTAAAGTTTGTGTTCACACATGGAGTTGTATAGTTTTCTAGGTCCCACACTTTTGTTATGTTGTTGCTATTTTTGGATTTGGAATTTTTTCTACCTGAATATATATTTGATAGTGATGTAAAGTATCAAAGAAAAAAGGTGTCTGAATGCTGTCGAAGTTTGCGAACAATTTGGATTACAACTGTTTACCACCGATTACATTGCAACCGGTCGCAATGCAAAGTCTAGTCTGAATAGGGTATAAGAAGACGACATTAATAAAGCTTAATTAAACCATGAGTGTAAGATTCAGTTGCCATGGAAATAATGAATCTAAACATCTAAAAGAATTTTCTTATAGACAATATAGTCATCTGCAGTAATGAAAATATTCTGGCATGTAGAACAATCTGTCAATTTTGAAACGAATAATACATTATTTAGACTGATAGTGATATTCAGGGGAAAGTTCGCCAGGGAACACTCACAACACTAAATGAGTGGACCTTCTCAACATGCAGTTTGAATACGCATTAACTAGATCACTGACAATGCTCTTAGTGTATCCTGGTAAACGTTTGCCATTCTTTAGACAGGCGAACACAGATGGCAAACCTAAGATGAATGTTTTTTGATAATACTTCTAGATTGTGATATACTACTGCCATTACTAACATTTATCACTATTATAATTTTGTATTTTATTTATAGTAGATGCAATCAGGCTCTTAACTGTTGAACGCTTGAATTTTCAGGCTGGCATTTTTATTGTGTATTTGGGCGAAGCACTTTGCCTATGACTGCCTCTTTCTACCCGGGAGAATAAATGGCTAGATGGGTAAAATGTTATTCAACAAATGCTGATTAATTCTTGTAGGTAATTACACTCTATAATTCATTTATAAAGTTACCTATTTTAAGTATGGTACTGAGGTTTGGGGAGGCAAATATATTATTCATATTTAGAACTTTATTTTCTTTCTTAAAAAATGATTGTATTACTTTTTTAATTTGATATGTAAATGTAGTTTACTTTTTTGCCACTTGTTCAAGTTCATATTTAAAAAACCAGTAATATAATACATTAGAATAATAATAGAAGCATACTATACCATCACTATATCCATCTCCAGCCTACCTTACTCAAATCAAGCTATCAAAATCAATAGTATCTTTCCCTCTGCTACAGTGTAAGTTACTATGGTTATCATTATAAAGGATATGCAAATTTCATATCATCTGCGAACAGATATCACTTGTATAAAAATGCTACTTCTATCCCCTGTCTTGTACATTACTATTAAGTGTAAGTTTATCTTACAAAATTACTCTGGATTATTTGTTCACTTGCTGCCCTTTTAGATTTGTGAATCAGCCATTTATGAAAGTCTACTAACTTTTTAATAACAAATACAAGTAACAGTTTGCATATTAACACCATTGTTTCCTTTGCTAATAGTAATAGAATGTATTGAAATCTACATGAAAGTTTCAATAGTTGACCAAGCGAGGGCATAGTACTGAGGCTACTCTTGTATTCTATTCAAATTCTGTACTTAAAGTTCAGTTCTGTGCACATGTGCTATGCAGTGGGGTTGATACCAAATACAAATGATAGTTTGCATTATTAACCTTATTATTAATATTATTCTTTGTTTTGCTTTAGAATGTATTGAAATCTACAAGAAAATTTGGACAGTAGACCAAGCGAGGCCGTGGTACACTGGCTACTCTTGTATTCTCTACTCAAATATTGTACTATGCAGTGGAGGTGATACCAAATACAAATGATAATTTTCATATTAACATCTTTGTTTCCTTTGCTTTAGAATGTATTAAAATCTACTCCTGCTGTCAAAAGGAATTGAATCCAGGACCCTGAGATTAGAAGGCAAGCACCTTAACCACTGAGCTATTCAACTACACTGCATAATAGCATTTGTGCACAGAACTGAATTTAAGTACAATATTTGAATAGAATATAAGAGTATTACCTCTTGACTAAAAACAACTCCACTTCCCAAGCCTTAAAAGAGGCTTTGTTGATCTATTAGCATCACGTTAAGAATATTTGCATCTTATTTTGCCTATCTTTCCCATCTATGTCAGGTCTGTCATAAATAAATATACATAAAAATAAATAAATAATTTAAATAAAATTAATTAATTCAAAATAATAAGGCAGAAAAAAGGCTACATGTACACTCTGCAGGTGGAAAACGGCGCTGCGAGCAGCTGTACCAAGAGATGGATAAGTGCACCTAATAAGATGACATTATTCTTATTATTACTATTTATTTATGAGGGCTGACCTACTAGGATATGCTGGAAGTGTCACCCTCTATAAATATGGTTTATAAAAAAAATGCAAACAGGACCAACGGCTTATTAACGTCTCATATTCTTATTATTACTATTTATTTATGAGGGCTGACCTTCTAGGATATGCTGGAAGTGTCACCCTCTATAAATATGGTTTATAAAAAAATGAAAACAGGACCAACGGCTTATTAACGTCTCACCTGAAGAACAAAGTAATTAGAAAAGTGTGTTACCCAAGGACAAAAAAGCAAGAAAGGCATTGGAAGATTCTGTTCAATCATTAAACACTGCATGTACTAACTAATGCATACAAATCTACATATGTGGCAAAGACAAGCCAAACCAGTCACTCGTCGCAAATTGTGTTTCAGAGAAAATGGCCAAAACATGCTAAAATGTCAAATTTTCAAAAATCTATTTTAT